ATATATATATATATTTTAGTTATTCTTAAACACTACTCAAATAGTATCTAATTATATTTATCAAGCCTATTCTCTATAAACTTAGTAGCACTTGGTCTTATACCAAGTGTTCGTTCTAAGCAAGTGTTTGGTCTTACACCATGCACTCGTTCTAGTTCCTTAAGCCAACTTCATAATAAGAGAGTTCGTTCAAGCCCAATAGGGTTCGCTCACTATAGTGTTCAGTCTTTGACTGGCATTTAGATGGTTATTGGTGTTTAGCTACTTTAGAGGCTAAGTATATTTATTAACGTTCGGTTTCATCATGTAAATTCTTATAAGTGTTATTCTTTGAAGTGTTTGTATTCATTGGTTTCGGCCTAGAGTTTTAGTAATTGACATCATCTTTGAAGTGTTCATTTTGATCTTCCAAGAGTCAGTTCATTTAATTGACTCACTTTGTAAGTAACGCTCGTTCTAGTAGTTCTTGTCATATATGATCTTACTCGGTTTCTTTCTCAACCCGATGGTAACCCTCTTTGATCTTAATCCGTCCTGGAACTGGAGACCTCTCGGTCTTGCTCCAAGTGTTGGTCTCGTTCTGAGTTTAGCGGTTGAACGTTCGGTATTTAGTACCCTCAGTGATCCTTGTACAACTGGTTAACTTGAGATGATTTATAATGAAAGATGAAGAGAATGTGATATGGATGAAATGTGTTGATTTATGGACGAGCGTTCCGGGGAGGAACGACTCATGGTTGAATATTGGAATTGGTAAAATATGAATGTGGGCATGCTAAGCTGGCGGTTCATCCTGATGTTCCGTGAGTACTCGTCCTCACATAGGGGAGGGTAGGTCATGTGTGGGAACGACAGGAGGTCCTAGTCCTTAGGGATACTTTGGACAGATAGGACTAACCTCGGGTGGCAGCTGTTGAGGGTATCCCAGTTACTACATCACCCGGGTGCACGAACGTCGTAGCTACACAGATTTCATACAGTCCGAACAGTCAGTCTAGTATTAGGCTTTGTATTAACTTATGATGATTTATCTTGTTTCTTTGATTGTGTGAAATGTATGTTTGGACATGAATTAAATTACATAAGCTTACCCTGTGTTTCCTGTCTTGTCTTGTTTTGTACGTTCGTCTTGTCATTGCAATGATCATCCGTGTGGATGTGAGCAGAAGGAGACGAGCTGTTGAAAGATGCGCTGGAAGAAGAGAACCTGATCGAGATAGAAGTGAAGACCGAACAGTAGGACGTTCGGTCAGTAGTCTAGTTATAGTAAGGTGGTCGTTCGATCACCTTCCATTTTGTTAAGTATGACCGTTCGATATTGTCTTTTGTAAACCATTCGGTCATGTTTGCTTATCCTGTACAGTTTAAATTTGTAACTCTTTCTGTAAGGTCGTTCGGTCATGAGCGTGCGTTCTCTTTAGTTCTCTCTAGTGTAAGACTGATCTGTAATATTATTCAATGTAATTATTCTATCATATAGTTTTAGACTATATTTTTGGGATGTTACATGTGTAAACCAATAAAGTAATATAGTATTTTACATTAAATAATTTTCTAAATTTATATATAATAATACATGTATTTACATTTTAACTCAACGAACGCATTTAGGTTAAAATAAGTCTAATAGAATTTCTCAAAGACGTAAGAGAATAGTAATGTACTGATTTTTAAAACAATAAGTCTATAACCCTTTGGTTACAGTCTATAAGAAAGAATGATCAAATTGAATATAACTAACCCTAAAAAAAATTCTCATGTATAATACATACATACAATACAAGACATGAAAGAGTAAATTCATAGAAGTTTGAAGGGGAAATAGAGAATTTACATTAAATTTGTCGCTGCTTTCATAGTAAAATAATCACTAAAATTTTAACACAGTGCTAGATAGTTGTTTAAGAATAAGGAAGAGGATTATAGTTATAAATTAAACATATAACATATTTTTGGTTCGTGGGATTTAATACAATTGATGTGACATTATTGGAAATATAATGTTAAGGTTTGGTAGAAGCAGATAGATTGGCAGTAGTATTACATTTGGGTAAGCATCTGAGAATAAGATTATTAGGACGTGGTTTGTAAGTGGTTAAAAACTGTGGATCCTCCTCAAGTGCTTCACTATAGCTCTCCAAAATCGCAACTATCTCATCAAAATGTGGTCTTTTATCTGGATTGCTTGACCAGCATCTGTTTATCAGATGACTAAATGCCCGTGGACACTCACATGGTAACGGAGGCCTTTCATTCTGCACCAAATTCAAAAAAACAAGATACTTCATTCACCGCAAAACTACACAAAAATATTTCAATGCAGAATCATTTGTTCAATGCATAAAAGTAGTTCAATGTGAACCCAAAGGATGTGGTGTGACATGTGAGAAAACAGTGAACGTGAAAACCTTACATTGGTCCAAAACATAAGCAGTTGATCGAATCTGTAAGTTGATTTTGATGCATGTGGGTGAAAGGGCAGAGGTGGTACCAATGATTGTCTGTGATAAATTTTGATAACAGATACCGAATCTTGAATGTTGTAAAGCATAATATAAAAGTGTCTATCTCTGGGTAATATAATATTGTCGATGAGGTGTCTTGCTTTGATAAGCAAGGGTGTATGGTAGGCATGCCACATGCTCTGTAAAGTTCATATCATCATATCCAGAAGGATTTGGGGACATATGAAAAGGTCCCTACTTTAATTGCTCTAGCTAGTAGAATTGAACATCCAAACATGCCATTAATTAATTTCACCTTAATTATCATCACTCCTTATGCAAATAAAAATAAGTTACATAAGAATAATGTGTCAGTACAGTAACAGACCTTGTGAGTGGCTGCATATGCTGCCTGCTCTGGTGTCATGTTGTCAAATGGGGTCAATCCTGTTAGGAGTTCCCATAGAACTATGGCGAAACTATAGACATCTACTTTTTTGGTGTGACGCTTTTCTCTGATCATTTCAGGTGCCATCCAACGGTATGTTCCAGTGAATCCTTTTGCACTACCAGTCTGAGATTCCAAGCATGAGATCCCAAAATCTGCTACTTTTGCGCACAAATCTTCCCCCAACAGCAGGTTTTCTGATTTCAGATCCCTGTGAAGTATTCCCTGAGAATGAAGATATTGCATTCCCCGAGCAATGTCTAAGGCTAATTTCAGAACAACGTTGTGAGGAACCGAATGTGGTCCTTCCTGAATCAAGTATTTTCTCAACGAACCCCCGCCCAAATATTCAGTAATAATGCAGAACACAGGAGGTTTCTTGCAAGCTGCAACAAACTGCATAACCAATACGGATCATCTTTTAATCAGTTTCTTTATTATATTCACCAGTTGCAAACTTTCACACAAAAGCCTTGTCTTCTCTGTTAAAAAGTAACTCTTACATTAGCCTACCATTCGTGTGATAGGCCACAATGCCACATATCTACTTCAAATAAATGAATTCATCTGCTGAAACACCTTTTGCTCGGTACATGCAGTAAAATCATATAATTTCCTTTTACTAATAATTGATTCAACTTTTCACAAAATTTCACACTACACCAAAAGTCTTCAGACGAAGGCACAACACCCTCGGTATTCAAATCACATGTCCCCATTTATTTGTCTCTTTTTATTTCCCTCCAATTAAAAACTAGGATTTCTACAACAACCACAAAAAAACACACACTAACAACCTGAGAGAAGTCAATGACGTGTCATTTTTCGATTAGCAAGAAAGAGAAGGAGTACCACTGTACCACCACATCATAGAGTGGTTAGGCGTAGACACGATTTTATATATCTATAACTGTATCTCGCAATACTTCACCTCTGAACCAGACAAAAGGGTGGTGAGGGAGGGAAATGTTATATATTCTTTTAATCACTGAGAAAAAACTTGTAAAGGGAATAACACTGATGAAAGAACATTAAGAGTGAGGAATGAGGATCAAAGTTATTATGTTCCATGCAGACACAGAGATAAAGGGTTGAAGAAAGAGAACTCACGGTGATGATATTTGGATGGCGCAATCGAAAGAGCAAATTAACCTCAGAAGTGAATTGCTGCTCTAGCGAAACGGCTAAGTCCTCATCCTCCTCCGGTTGACTCACCAGCTTAATTGCAACGTCCATGTGCTTGTAGATGCCTCTGTAGATCCTGCTATGCCTCCCAGAAGCAAACTTGGACCCAATGAACAACTGAGACAGATCAGCACTCCATTCTTCTTCAGCCTCTCCCTTTATGGCTGCCCCCGAAGAGATCAAATACTTGGACCATGACACCGCTCGCTTATACTCCCCAAGTGAAAGCCTTCTCCCTGATCTCACGTTGTTAGAAATTTCTTTAAACCAGTACAAGTTCTTCATGCTTCCCGCTTAACCCTTATGGGAACCCAATGCAGATTCCAAAAGCTAGTCCAAAGTTTTTGTTTTTAGAAATAGTGAGGAATACCCAGTTTGGAGAAACTTGTTTTTCATAGCTTAAACTAATTCCCTACGCTACCTACATTTTGAATCATCATCACCATTTACGCAGCTGGAGAAAAGAAGAACAAATAAAAAGAAACCAACTCCAAACCACAATAGATGAAAGAAAAGAAAGGAAAAAGGGTGAGGCATGAAGGGGATTTTAGTGAGAGAGAAGAGTGAGGAAGAGAGAGGAATCGGAGCTCAAGTGTTGGATGGTGCAGTGAAAGAAGAGGAAATGGAGATGAAAGATGGTATTTTTATTTTTTTTTTTGTGTCTGGAAACACAGGGACTGACATTAGCATCTACGTTGGTAACGTGCGAAGATATACTTGTGAGGAGACAAACGGGGTCAGGTTGATGATGACCCCTACCTCACCCCTTTCCAATTCTTTTTTCTTTCCACTTTGAACCTGTGTTTCCCACCGCATTATCACCACTGCCATTCATTCGCTAACCTTCAATTTATTTGTCACACTCTTCTCCCCTTCCATTTATTGCTTTCTTTGTTTTCTAGCCACCACCATGTGCTATGTGCCAGACCTTGCATTTCCATCATTCTCATTCCAAGTACTTCTTTCTTTCTTTTTACCATCATTCATTTCTCTTCACAACCAACCAACCTTACCAAATCAATTTTCAAATAATAACTTTCACACTCAATCTCTGCACTTTTATCAAATCTCTTAACTTCAACCATTACGGATCCCTTTTTCGAAAACGTTTACACTCATCAACAAAATTAAGTATGCTCCGTCAAACTCACCAATATCATTCCTAAGAATCGAATCATTTCTTCTCCACGTATTTTACCAGACTTGTAGTATTTTTATCTTTACCGTTATGGACCCCTATATGGTATATACAGTTTGTTTATTTATGTTTTTAAAACCATTAACAGTTTCTTCTTAATTGTTGAGAATCTTTTCTCTCAAGGGTTAATGGCCAAAGCAATTATGACCAAGATAAGAATTTTTTTAAGATTAGGCTGCATAGTAAACATGCAATAAGTCCCTTTTTTTAGTCAACAAGTAATAAATAAGACAGAAACTAAAGCAACATTCAAATTGCATGCTTTCGATAACTAATGTAAACTTTCTAACAAATTTCACAATACTAAGATTTTTGGCAACTCTCATGATATGATAATTTGATAAACTTGCTCACGTAAAGAGCTCATTATTATATCATTTCATACTAACCAAGTATTCTTCCCATACTGTTTATAACCGAAAAAAATAATAATAAACAAATTGATGGGTCAATATTTTGTGTAAATAGTTGTTGAAAAAGTTAATCAATAAAACAATTAATCAGTTGAAATTTGAAATTCTTTCATAAAAAATTGCTTTAATTCTCACTAATAATTAATTAATGGAATTTTCATAATTAAATCGTCATTTTTCATAAACAATCAATTTTCCATTTATTATGGGAAATTAGTAAGATAATAATCTATTTGATATTTTTTTTTATAAATAACATAGTAGGAATTTAAATCAGCAAAAAATTAAATAAAATTAATGAATTCAGCACATGGATTAATTTGGGAGCTTGCTTCCTCTCAATTAATGATTTCACGTCCAAGTCTCTGTTACTTAAATAACTGTGTTAAGAATTGGTGATGAAAGTTTTGCGATTCATAATTGTTAAGAATTGATTAGGACGGAAAAATATTTATAAATTGTTGTTAGTCTCAATTTCTTGAAATTATTGTTGTGAGGGAAATAATAACCTCTGCACGAGACTAAGAGATAAGTGCTTTGACCATTTCTATATGATACAAAGGTTGATAATTGATGTATAAGTATTGAGATCCTAATCGGTATTGGATTGTATATGTATTGATCGGTACACATCGATCAAGTCGTATTAAATTGATTGTTCAAATTGAAATACAATCAATTGGTGCTAATTAGATTCAATTAGTCATCCAATTAACTTAAACAAGTTAGTAATCATATTTAACATAATTGAACTGTAATATGACAATAGACCATGAAAAAACTTATAAATATAAATAAAAAGATACGATGGTTTGCAACACATTTATTACAATATTAATTTTTAAACTGTTTAGATAATAAACTAACTTAATCATTAAAATATTTTTAATGGATATACCACTTAAAGCAAACAAGTAACAAGGAAAATAATTATGTAGTAAAGATTGTTTGAAATGAAAACTCAATCTCATCCACTTGATATATATATTTGTAATTTTGCTTTTGACATAATGAAATTAAAATATGTTTGAAGTGTCTAGTTTTAACATAATTGATTAAACGTATTTTAAACATAAATTTTAGAGTGATTATTTCTTCATATGTGAGAGATAAATGAGTCTGTTATTTAGTTTAAGAATTTCCAAATAAGATTTAACTTTTGATATAGTGATTTTTTTTAAAAAAAAAGGAGGATGCTTATAACATTTCATTCAAAATCAAATATTGAATACATGTTGGGATAAAATGAAAAACATAGTTATTGACATAAAATCTTGACCTAGCAAGAGAATGACAACACAGTAGAACTTGTCTTCGAAAATAAAACTAACGACGACATTTTGAGAGTGACGACACGTTGGTATGCAACTGGATGTATGAATCTATATATTAACAATACAATCATAAGTCACACTCCTTAATGTAAAAACTATCCTTTAAATTATGAGTAATCATCCATTAAAGTTAACTAATTTGGTTATTTCTGTGAATAAAGCAGTCATTTATTTCATTCATAAAAGATCAATTATAGTATTATTAAAGTTAATAATTTTATCATACGGTAAGACTTAACATCATATATAGATAATATGAAAATTTATACTATTAACATATTACAATTAAAATTATATTTTATTTTATAATTAATTTATTGAAGAGTTAGATTTTTAATTCAAGAATTATTTCAACTGTAATTTATTCTATGAATATGAAATTTTTAACATCTTCTTGTGTCGATATATCTTTTATATTAAATTAAATATTTATGAATATTCATAACACAATATAAATCTATTAAGCTTTATATTAATATAAACACTAATATGATATTAAAAATTAGATTTAAGTTTAATTCATCATCATAAAACAGTTTATAAGATGATAATTGCTTAATTGTGTAGTGTAATTTAATTTTTAATTGACGTGTAATTTAGATGAAAAAAAATGACATACATATTTTGATTAATAGATAAAGGTAAGAAATAAGGTGTAACACACATTTTTATTTTTGACTGTCTGAATGATAATTGAGTTAGAAAAGGACGTTATTATGGTGGATAAAGTAAAATTTGAGGTAACATTTAAGTCTTCTTTACTTGAATGGATTTAGAAAAAATGATTCTTTACTTGAATAGATTTAGAAAAAGTGATTGAAGAGATTTGAAGGTAAATTTTTTTTATTAGTTTATTTGAGTGGATTTTGAAATAAGTGAGAATAAATTTGAAAGTAAATTTTTTTAATCTATCAGATCAATCAAATCATACACTAATTATCAAAAACTTTACTTCAAAATAATAATAATAAATGGGATAAGATAGATAGCAATATTATTTGGCAGTTGATGGTGAATGTTGAGTTGTGGTGATTGGAAAGGAGTGGATTTTTGGCAGCGTTGGGAGAAAGTCCCAATCTAAAGGAGAGAAAACCTCTCCACCACTCACTCTGTCTCACTTCTCTTCCTTCTTTATTTCCACACCTAGGGCCATTTTCGTCACTTCCCTCTTTCGGACAACCCGTATACACTTTCGTCCTCTTCCGTATACACTCCTCTTTTTCACTATACCCTTCTCATTTCAATCTTCAGGGATTTCTATTTTTTTATAAAATATCATTTCACAAAAATATATTTAATATAAAATTTATTTAAGCCTGTAAGATAAAGGTTTAATGCAGTACCACGGAACAGTACTCCAGGAGATAAAAAAATATATTATGTATTTAAGATATTGGCTTTCTTTTTAATTATAAAAAGAAAACATCAACTGGGCCGGAATAATTAATGTCATAGAACAAACTGGATCTGATTTTAAAACAAATTTAAAGGCCGTGTTCAAATGTTACCAAAACTACCATTTTAGAAAACAAAAACATCAAATTTTCCATGTTCTGCTAATCTACAAATCAAGATAGCCAAAACTACTATAGCATCTTTTTGATGATTATTCACGATTAAATACTTAATAAAAGAGTAGTGATAATTTAAACTACTATTAGTTTACTAAGTTTAGTGATACAGACTCAATTTTAGAAACATTATTCACAGAGCACAACATTAATCATTTTGCTAAACAATACGTATTACTATCGTTTAATTGTTCTGGTTACTAAAAAATATTGAAGAAACGCAGAAAAATTCCTCTGGTTTCAGGCTGCAACCCTAACGGCTATGCTATATTTCAATAGGAAGATTTAATTTTTAAGAAGTTGATCAATGTACCCACAGCCAGTGGAATGTCAAACTTAAATTTGACTAACAGTTTTTCCTTCTCTGCAACTAAATGCTAATAGGATTTGAAGGAATGCGTGAATAAATATATTCTTAATAATATAATGTGTTGACTTAATTTTTTTCTTTGTATGAATAATATATATACCTAATTTTAGTTCCTTGGTTTTCTTTCCTTAATTAAATCTCTATTTCATTCTCTTTTCAATATTTTTTTGTCAAGTTTTGTCTATTCCTAAAATTTAAAACATGTATGGTTGGTATTAGAGTTGTTCGATCTCACTTGTTATAAATTCAAGTCAAATAGAGTTATAGAAAAAATGGAAATGTCGGTATAAATCAAATCAAACTCAGTCCATTAAGAGTTTGATTCACCAGATAAAAAAATAAAGAAAAAAAGCATTTGATGGAGCCCAACATAATTATAGAAAATGGGATCGGAGAAATATATATTCAGTAAATCTTCATCTTCTTCTCCTCTCTCCAATTCTACTTCTTCAATTCTTTATTTTTTTTAAATCAAAATATTCCAATTCATTTTCTTCCTTCTATTTTAGTTTTTTTTTCACCACCAATCGGAACATGTATTCCAACCACCCCATGCTCCACCATGGGCAACACCACATACTTTCAACATACTTGCACACATTAAAAATTAATTTTTGAGGCAATTTATTAAAAAATTATATAAATGTCATGAATCCAATCCATAACACTGTTTTACCTAAAATCTTGAAATATTAGACTTTTTCTTGTATAATATTTAACTTTATTATTTTTATCCAATATAAAACTTAAATTCTTACTTTAGTTTAACTTACAACAAAATTTTTAAGGTTTTATAATCAATTTTAGATTAAATTACCTTAAGAAAATAGAAATATAAAATTTCACAAAATTTTATAAAATTTAAAATTTCGCAATTGAAAAACAACGTTTTAGTTACGAGTGATAATTTCTTTTTACCAGTTTATCAGTTTATCTTTTAATAAAAACAAAAATAAAATCATGAGATATATATAAAAGAAATTAAATATTAAAGTAAATGAAAAATTAACGAAATTACTTTAACTAAAAAAATAGAAGACATCATACATAAACTCGATTAAATAAAAAAAAATTCTATATATT